TAATTGTAATTATTTTGAATAGATCCACTTCACTGAATCAAAATCAGCATTCGTCTCTTTGTAAGTTTCAGTAAAATACTTAGGTAGCTAAAAACATAGTCGATAAATTGATTGCGAAACTTCTATAGAATATTTGCTTGGTCTACGCTGCTTCCGTACGTACCGCTTTGCTGTCAGGTATTCACATCTTAATCACAGTCAACTCTAGCTGCCTAATGAATAATTTCGGTAAAAGAAATACTTTCTGGCGTGAAATCCTTTTTGAAGATCAAGCAGGGGTTCAAGTTTTATCCATTCTGTACTTCTTCATTATCATAAAAACACTCAAATTACCTCCCGAAAAAGCATCAACGAAGCGAAGAAATTAATTTTAGTCTCACATCCAGTTCTACTCGTTTAAGTAATATAAAACAAGTTGTCGCGCCTCAATGGGTGAAGGAGATACCAAGCAATCTGCCTTAAGATGCTATTTTAAAGAGTATCTGAGCTCCTTGGACTAGGGAGCCGTTCTTTCATATTCCGGCTCCCTTCTTGGAAAGTTTGGCTCACCTATTTAGGCATGTCAAGAGCACTGCCCTCCAATTTAGGATGGTACAAAAGGGGCTCGAAAATCCTGCCAGTACTACATAATAAGAAAGTATATTTTTGAGTAAATTCTAAAAACAAGCTCAATACTTTTGATTTATTAAAATTTAAAAAATGCTACCTATTGGATTGAAAAGCACTACTAAGAAGTCAAAGGCCTTGGTTTCATTTCTCTACAAAAACAGACGAAAACTTTTCACACCATCTGGCAGTTAATTAGGATGTTGTCTAGTGAATACAAAGACATGATTAGCTTATGCCACTTGGTGTATTTATCCCCATGAAGCAGAAGAAGATCAGTCGCATTGCACGCAATAATGCAAGTATGTGAACAAAAGAGAGCAAACATAATGCAAAACAGGCTAAACAGACCTTAGCTTTCGTTCCGGCCTTGGAGCTCAGCTCAGAGGCTGGCCGCTTGTCAACAGATCCTAAATGCAAAGGGAAAAATGGCAAATTTAAAAAGAAGATAAATGAGACTAGCATAACAGCAAAAGTGTTAGTCAAGGGTTGAGAAGAAGGCGATTATCAGAACCCCTTTCAGATAAGACAAGTAAGTTTAGCAAAATCATCTGGTTATAAAACACAACTCCATGGCCTTGTCGTCTTCTGGAGATATAAAGCCGTTGGAATTCGGCAAGATCAACTGATCCAATAAATTTGGTTTTACTTATCTCCTTTTATTCTATTTCAATGTATTCAGTATCAGTCCTTTAAATAGCCAGACTATAAAATCATTGAATATCGCCATAAGCAGTTGCCCTAAATGTCTGCAACATTATCTCTACACAACAATTGGTTAGCTATAACATTCTGAAGAGAAAGCATAGTGAAATACAGGTGAAAAACTTTGCAGGAAAATAGACAATAAAATTTTAATTTTCATCCTTGTTTGACAAACAATTAAATGAAGGCAGATTTTGAAAACTCTTGACGAATAATTGGCAAGCCTGATGCTTAAACACAATGTTTCTTCGATTTTTCCCAATAATGATCCCTTATCCAACTAAATAATAAATCGACATTAGGAAAAGTATAGATATGCGGTAGACTAGAGGAAATCAGATAAAGTATATTATAAATTTAATGTTACCTTGTCTTTTTAATGAAGGATAGCTTGACAGCCGTGAGAAAACCAAGATGGAAATTCACCAAATAAAAAGAGAAGATTTATTTCAAAATCAGTCGAAAAACTATTCCACGTGGAAATAGCCAACTTTGCCAGAATGAAGCCTATGTTCTGTCCAAAGCTTATTTTTACTTGTGTTTAATATATTTGTTTACTAAGGAAATTATTTTTGCTTTCAATTATATTCAAGTAAATAAATGACTCAATTTCAATGTTTATAGGTGTAGAATGGCCTCATTAAAGATAATTTTCTCATGGCGTCATTAGCTAATGCGATTTAAATAAGAGTACCCTGGTTGAGGGATAAAAATATTAATAAGCAACTATTTACCGCATACTTAATCCTCAAGTTGCCATGTTTCGTAGAAACAAATGCTTCATACTGAATCCTAATTTGCCTTAAATTGCAGAAAAAACCATGATTATGATAATGACAATGTGGGATAACCAGATGTAGACGACACAATACCAAAACAATTTTAAAGTGTATAAGCTAAAGGCAACAAGGTCAGTATAAATCATGCTTGGCAGAATTCTCAATAAACAAAGAATAAAGTATAAAAAATTTTTATTTAGGCATATATGCTCAAAGTTAAATGGTCAAATGTGTTAACTAACCGTAGTTAGTGTCGTACAGCCCAAATGTCTCATTCTTCCGCACGGCATTCAAACCAATCGGACGCTTTCTGTCCTCCACATCGGAAGCACTGCGTGTCAACCCGACGGTAGGACTTCCGATGATGGAGAAGAGTAATCGAGAGACTGATTGGCCATTCAAGGGAATATCAAGTGCAAAATTAATAATTATAGGGATAAAAATAATGATGTAGCTACAAAAACAAGCTATAAAGTAGATGAGCCTACGTAGATAAAAATAAGTGTATAGCTAAAAATGATGTATAAACACACACGCAAAAATATATAGATACATATAGATAGATAGATACGGACGAAGATTTCAAGTAAAGGATTGAGAAGAGTGAATAACAGAAAAGTTAAGCTCCGTTCTCATTTCTATGATGACACAATGAAATGGGTCTCGAAAAAGCGTATAATGTATGATGCAACTTTAATGTTTTTTAGTAACGTGCTTTAAAAAGTAAAAATGAACTTTTGAAGGATAGGCTCCAATTAATTCTTTACAATGGTTTAATGTGATAATTTGTGCTCAAGGGATAAATAGATCTGAATTACGCTAATTATGAAGATCGCCTTTTGTCTGCATTGAAGGGATCTAACTAGATCATCGTTCGCACCTCTTCAGTCCAGATTAGACTGTCCCTTGGGGGAATATTTTTGCATCTTTTCTTGATAAAATCCTTTATATAAATACACCAGAGGACTACGGAAGCTCTCACTATATACTTGATTGTACGCTAAAGTGTACAATATCAAATTAGGCCTTAGTCTCCAGTTAACTTTGATGAGACAGGCCTGATTAAAATAGAAATCGAGAGAAAAGCCCGCCAACTCATTTGGAAGACGAAAAGAGTCACCAAGTTAATGTTCTGAAATTCCCCCCAAAATAAGGAGGATACGATTTAATTTACTCTTAAATTATTTTAACCGTATTTGGATATGCACATATGAGCATATAAACATGATGATGAGGCAAGGGTATAAGGGAAGCAAATTTAAAATATCCTGAACAAGCTGATTTGATGTCTTTTCCAATGCAGATGGAGTAGGCAAGCATGGATAACAATGCAAGAGTTGATACGATTTTTATATGCCGATTGCATCTAGATCAAATTATTAAGATTACCGTATGGCGTAGTTCCCCTCTGAAGGTGAAGGAAGTTAAAAGCTCGGTGCTATGAATGAGATAAAACCTTGTGCATAGTGCAGTGCGATGCAGGTATGCTCATGGTGGCAACAAAACCGACATATATGACTGATTTAGGCAAAATAATTTCCGTGTATATAAGGATAATAGTTAATAATGTGAGATTTATTCACCCTATTTCGTCTAAGGTGATTAAGGACTGGTAGTAGAATTTTCCCACAATGATATGAGTTGAG